TCCATTTCGAGCAGGAATAGAAAGGGCTAGCTGAAGCTCCATGAACTCCCGAAATAGATGGAACCAAAGGACTCTGTGGATGGCGCTTGTTCTTTAAGCAAATTTGAGAGACAGTTTCGGTGAGTGTCGAGTTTCAAATGAAGGGAGCATATGGTAGTCTTACTACGCGAGTGTGCTTATGAATCGACAATTACAATATGTAACGAGAAAATTGATACTTTTAGATGTGAAGATGGATCTAATATGGATATTTTTTATCAATCTTCCGTTCGAACATTGGGTAAATGCTTATTTTCAAGGTAAACGGTACAGTGAAATGAATTCAAATCATTGACTTGTTCAATGCTTGAATTTTGAAAGCACTTAGAGTTATTGATTACAAACATGGTGGACACTATAAGAGGACAAATCATAAAACAAATGGGTTACAAGATGTAGATATCGTCCTCCTGGAATAAAAATTTATGTCCTCATACGAAGTCAAAATTACAGGTTATATTTACTAAAGAAGGTCTTGGTTTGTTAGGGTTTTAAATAATGATGTATATGAAGCCAATTCACATCCTTTGGTGTCTATTAACATTCAAAATGGGACGTGCTTATGTTATCAATGCAGATTAATGAGTTTCTGTATTCTCATGTAGTATCAACAATACGTAAAAGTGGTAAGAATATGAAGGAATTTATTTATTATTATTGACTAGCTCATTAAGATGGACCTTTTCTTGTTTGAAAAATAACAGTGGGATCCCCCGAATTTGAGTGTTGATATCGTTTAGATCCATAACGTTACCACACCGTTAAAGAGTCTTTAATAGTGGATTGCATGACATTTGTCGCACATTTTGGATCCAAAATACCCCATTTATTCATGTGGGACTCGTCATTGTCAAATCAAAAAAAAAAAAAATCGATGCTACATAAACTCATAGAAAGTCTCACCTCTATTAATTAGCTACTAATCAACTGGACTACCATGTCAATTCAAAATCTACTTTTAACTAAATAATTATGTCGACTTGATTGGAACCCTTCTTCCTCTTTTCCTTTTCTTTCACGACATTGGCACTGCAGCTTATGGAAAAGGAAAATGTAATAGAATTGCATGGTCAAATCACAAATAACTCAAAGTTCAAAGGCTAAACTTAAAAAGTCTTAAACACAACCTCCAACAGTCTTGCTTTACTGTTTCATTCCTGCAAAACCACTATAAGTAGCCTTCTAGAGGCCCACTATCGTTCATATGGATTTATAGTGGGCCCAACCATAGTACTAAAAGAAGGTAAACTTTCAATCCTACTTGCCCACAACACCACTGCAGAGCGTCAAATTCATGGTGATTATAAGCCCACAAGATTGTGTTCGAAATGGTGGCATGTACAGAATAAAAAATTGATGTTTGAAATGGTAAAGACTATATTCAAGTCTTACTTCTTGCAAACCTTTTTTATCTGCACCATCTTGTAATGGTCAATTAGAATTGGAAGTTATTAAAATAGTGGAGTTTACTTTACCTACTTTTTATTTTTTTATTAGATAATGACACCAAATAGCAGTAATAACCTAGTGTCATCATTACATTGAATATTTTTAAGAGAGAGAGAGAGAGAGAGAGAGAGAGAGAGAATTGGGGAAAAGTTTGATTTTTTTCTTGATAAATCTACTTTATTTTAACATGAATATTAACATATAATAATACGAATCTATTAAGATTCCCTTTATTTTGGGAAATTGAACTAATTACCCTTAATAAGGGTCACATGTCAGAGTCAAAGTTGAACAAGTGGTAAACTTCTAGGTGTAATTTACCCAATAAAGTTTGGGAAATGGGAGACGGGCATTGTTCAAAGTGACTTTCATGGGCCTTGATTATTCAACCTAGCCTGATCCACTTTATGCATATCCTGGCCATGCTAGTGATCCAATTAAGATCCAATCTTCGCACCTTTTTTCTTGAAAGCCCATTGTTAACAATTTGGTCCAAAAGAAGATGTGAATTGGGGCACTACAGTCGGATCAAAGACACAACATGTTCCACTGGAAGGGACTATGAAGCATCCATAATAAAGATGATCAACTACCACGAATTCAAGTAAGACTTGTTGCATATAACCAGACCTCTCATTAATGCATAGTGGGGGAATATGAAAAGAAGAAGTATTGGGAGGGTTTTGAATCCCCTCCGTAACCACGAGTCTTCAAGTCAATAATAATCGTTGTTGTATATTTTTTTCACACGTCGTTAATTTTATATCAATTTCACGCATACATGGAATGTGCGAAGCATGAAGCACAATAGGCGACCGGAAAACTCTTTAATTCTAATTTAATATTGTTAAAAGTCCAAAAGATTCAATAAAAATTGGCTGTGCCCAAGAGATACGAGAAATAATAAGAAAAATGCAAATTAATACTTTTAATTGATGTTTTTATATACAAAACTTCCCTTTTCTTCAACTACCCCTCACATAAAGCCAATGATGTTTTGTTTCACCATTAAAATGAGCTCACACAAAACTTGTTTTGCACCTAATGGCTTTGACAAACTGGGTTAAGTCACCCCTCGCACATCATAGTATGGATTAAGATCTCCTTCCGTACTAAATTCCTTCAATAGCGTTAAGGTTGGATGACCTTTCATATTTTAAGTGAAATTTATAATATAAAACAGAGTAGACTTCAATAAGTCCATTCGACGGTTTTAAATAGACTCATCTAACGACCAACAATATCCCTTTCAAAATCATTCGCATTGATTTATGTTGCGCCGTGTCTTTAAACACGGATTACCCTTAGTCATTGTATTTAAGTGAATCACTCATCAATAAAACTGTGACTGATCTAGAAATGGGAATAGAAAGAAATTAGAACAAAGTAAAGTATACAGATAGCCCCAAAACCATGTCATCTCTTTCAATTAAACCCTTAAATTAATTTTTTATCCTAATTTAGCCCCTGAACTATTCAATTTAACTCAATGTCTCCCTTTTATCAAAATTTGTCATTAATTTTAACAGAACGTCTCACGTGCACATTATATATCTGGTCTTAAATACCCCTAGTTCTTGACTCACGTGTTGGGCCTGTGAAGTGTTAGTTAATACCGACGATAATTTTATTAAAATTTAACACATTGAGTTGGACTATATAGTTGAGTGACTAAAGTGATAGTAATATACTCAATAGTATACAAGGAAAACCCAGTCTCTACGTTCTCTCTTCTATGCTGTTGATCAAACAGTTTCCTTACATTAAAGAGGAGTTGGGTGGACTAGGTTTTCACGAAAGTAAAGGAAGATAAGGACCATTGGTTGTAGACCATTCTAAAAAGTCGGCTATCCTACACGCAATTATTAGCAGGTAGAGACGGTGGAGAGTGGAAAGGACCACCACAAAGGGCATGTGAGAGATGAACCCACCCCCCACCCCCAACGCCCAAAAAATACAAATCGACACCCACTCTTCCAATAATTCAAACTCTATAATCATCTACACACATCACTTCGTAGAAAATTGGTGGATCCGAATCTTTTTTCCACTTTAGAAGCTATATATAAACACCACACCCACCAAAATGGGCCCACCCCCATGAAGAATATTGTGTCATCTTCACAATAATCTTATTGTGTCATTGTGATTTAGGTCATGATCAATTGTTTTTAGTGATTTTTATTTTTTCTACATAAGATGGAATTCAATTGATCTGTCAATGCAACAACATTGTGGCTCATAAATATCCGAAAGAGAAAACATTCTAATTGATTTTAAATAAAGAGAAAAATACAATAAACAACATTTATTATATTTTGAGGAAGTAATATTGGTGGGATTTTCTAGTGATTGAATTAGTTGGGGGCTAATCAATGACCAAAGTTATTAAATTAGTTGTGAGTTTTGATATTAGATAAAATTTATTTTTAATCCGACATCTAATTGGTTAAAATCTCATATTAGATCTCTGTATTAAGTTTAAATTCAAAACATGAATTTCCATTAAACTTGAATGATTGCTTCTATACAAAATATAAAATGTTTAAATTAGCACCAAATTGACCTTTCATGCCAAAAACATCCATATCATTTCATTTTCTCTAATAGAAAATAGCTCATGTGCTGTATAGCATGGGTGTTGTTTCTCGATAAGTACCAAAACAACGAAGCAAATGCCTATACGACATCGTTTTACAGCTTATTTGGTACTAGCACTCTGTGTTGTACAACAAAGGAATCGGATGCTCTTACACACCCTAAATATTATAGATAAAACAAGAAGTCATTGGCTGGTATTAGTTCAATTGTTTGGGGTGTATGACCAACTTATGTATATCTTGACTAATCTTTTCTCCTACTCTATTTGGTCAAGGATAGATACTCATAACCTAATCTCAAGAAACTATGAAGATTCGAATTGAAGACATCAAAGTTTATAACTTATTTTTATTCTCACCGGAACTATATCTCCTTGCAATACACAACCACCAACCACATGGCTTTTTCCCTAGCCTATGGGCAAAACCCTCAAAAAATGGAAAGGTTAAAGCCATACCTTAAGGGTTGATAATAAATTTTTCATTGAAAAAAACAGACATAAGGAAATGGAGTAAACAGAAAGTAAGCAATACCACAAAATTTTTCCAATGAGAAAATGACTCCTTAACTACACATGCCATGCTCACTTGACTTTTCTACACAAAAAACCTTTATTGCTTATTTCATATAACTTAAAAAATTATAATCATACAACTTTGTAACAAGATTGTAATTTTGATTTCTTTCTTTATTCTTAACAAAATTTATAATTTATGAAACTATCTGACCTTTAAATAAAACTATATAGAGAGAGAGAGAGAGATGAGCAAGCCTTCACAGCGTGGACTGGTTCACACACTAACATGGCAACTCTGTGCTAGCTGATACTTAAAGCTGTTACCAACAACTATACCGGTGTTCGGAAAATCGTTTATATTCTTTCCGAACGGTATGTACGCCGGACATCTAACATGAAGATTGTAACGTCCGGTTGTGACGCGCCCAACTTTGAATCTGACCCGTCCATCAATCTTGACCAACAGTCTAATGCCCCCACTAGCCTGTTCTTGGCTCAACGCCGGACCGTTGTACGGAGCAATTGGAACCATATCCCCATAAATGAAGGGCGACCAAACGTTAGTATCCTTGTGACCTTGATAAACGGATTGTATGCCGACAGCATAAGTGATCTGTTGGCTGCGATAAGTGGCGTAGACGGTGAGTCTGTCGTAGTAAATTCCGATATTATCATTAGGGTTTCGAGAAACGATGGTGACTTGGATGTTGGAGCTGAGGATGTTGGGTGCGGAGACGTTCAAGCTGTTGACGGTGGCGTCTTGGAGGACAAAACGGGGTTTTTTGGGTTGCAGAACCGCCCAGACAATTAGAATTACCACGAGGACGATGAAGTTAAAGATAAGAAGGCAAGCGCAGCAGCGGCGGATTCGCTTCTGCCGTTTCTCCTTATGGTGGGTGCACGTTTTTTCTGACATGTTTGGTTGTGGTGGTGGTGGAGGAGGAGGAGGTTTCCAGTCGGGTGATAGGTTTTGGGTTGTTAGGACGGATTGGTTTGTGGGAAAGAGAAGAGAGGGTGTAGGATTAGAAAAGGCAAGCTAATATATAGGCTTAGAAGGCGCGTATTCGCTTCCGCCGCTTCTCCTTCTGGTGGGTGCATTCTTTCCCTGCATGTTTGGTTGTGGTGGTGGTGGAGGTGGCGGAGGAGGTTTCCAGCCGGGTGATAGGTTTTGGGTTATGGGGACGGAGTGGTTTGTGGGAGATTGTAGAGAGGGTGTGTGGTTTGTCTATCTATATAGGCTTAGAACGGCAAGCTAATATGTACAGAGTTCACTTTTATACTATTCATTAAAAAATATTATTTAAAGTGATAGTAATATACTAAATAGTATACAAGGAAAACCCAGTCTCTACGTTCTCTCTTCTATGCTGTTGATTAAACAGTTTCCTTACATTAAATAGGAGTTGGGTGGACTAGGTTTTCACGAAAGTAAAGGAAGATAAGGACCATTGGTTGTAGACCATTCTAAAAAGTCGGCTATCCTACACGCAATTATTAGCAGGTGGAGACGGTGGAGTGTGGAAAGGACCACCACAAAGGGCATGTGAGAGATGAACCCACCCCCCACCCCCAACCCCCAAAAAATACAAATCCACACCCACTCTTCCAATAATTCAAACTCTATAATCATCTACACACATCACTTAGTAGAAAAATTGGTGGATCCGAATCTTTTTTCCACTTTAGAAGCTACATATAAACACCACACCCACCAAAATGGGCCCACCCCCATGAAGAATATTGTATCATCTTCACAATAATCTTATTGTCTCATTGTGATTTAGGTCATGATCATTTGTTTTTAGTGATTTTTATTTTTTCTACATAAGATGGAATTCAATTGATCTGTCAATGCAACAACATTGTGGCTCATAAATATCCGAAAGAGAAAACATTCTAATTGATTTTAAATAAAGAGAAAAATACAATAAACAACATTTATTATATTTTGAGGAAGTAATATTGGTGGGATTTTCTAGTGATTGAATTAGTTGGGGGCTAATCAATGACCAAAGTTATTAAATTAGTTGTGAATTTTGATATTAGATAAAATTTATTTTTAATCCGACATCTAATTGGTTAAAATCCCAGATTAGATCTCTGTATTAAGTTTAAATTCAAAACATGAATTTCCATTAAACTTGAATGATTGCTTCTATACAAAATATAAAATGTTTAAATTAGCACCAAATTGACCTTTCATGCCAAAAACATCCATATCATTTCATTTTCTCTAATAGAAAATAGCTCAAGTGCTGTATAGCATGGGTGTTGTTTCTCAATAAGTACCAAAACAACGAAGCAAATGCCTATACGACATCGTTTTACAGCTTATTTGGTTCTAGCACTCTGTGCTGTACAACAAAGGAATCGGATGCTCTTACACACCCTAAATATTACAGATAAAACAAGAAGTCATTGGCTGGTATTAGTTCAATTGTTCGGGGTGTGTGGCCAACCTATGTATATCTTAACTAATCTTTTCCCCTACTTTATTTGGTCAAGGATAGATACTCATAACCTAACCTCAAGAAACTATGAAAATTCGAATTCAAGACATCAAAGTTTATAACTTATTTTTATTCTCACCGGAACTATATCTCCTTGCAATACACAACCACCAACCACATGGCTTTTTCCCTAGCCTATGGGCAAAACCCTCAAAAAATGGAAAGGTTAAAGCCATACCTTAAGGGTTGATAATAAATTTTTCATTGAAAAAAACAGACATAAGGAAATGGAGTAAACAGAAAGTAAGCAATACCACAAAATTTTTCCAACGAGAAAATGACTCCTTAACTACCCATGCCATGCTCACTTGACTTTTCTACTCAAAAAACCTTTATTGCTTATTTCATATAACTTAAAAAATTATAATCATACAACTTTGTAACAAGATTGTAATTTTGATTTCTTTCTTTATTCTTAAAAAAATTTATAATTTATGAAACTATCTGACCTTTAAATAAAACTATATAGAGAGAGAGAGATGAGCAAGCCTTCACAGCGTGGACTGGTTCACACACTAACATGGCAACTCTGTGCTAGCTGATACTTAAAGCTGTTACCAACAACTATACCGGTGTTCGGAAAATCGTTTATATTCTTTCCGAACGGTATGTACGTCGGACATCTAACATGAAGATTGTAACGTCCGGTTGTGACGCGCCCAACTTTGAATCTGACCCGTCCATCAATCTTGACCAACAGTCTAATGCCCCCACTAGCCTGTTCTTGGCTCAACGCCGGACCGTTGTACGGAGCAATTGGAACCATATCCCCATAAATGAAGGGCGACCAAACGTTAGTATCCTTGTGACCTTGATAAACGGATTGTATGCCGACAACATAAGTGATCTGTTGGCTGCGATTAGTGGCATAGACGGTGAGTCTGTCGTAGTAAATTCTGATATTATCATTAGGGTTTCGAGAAACGATGGTGACTTGGATGTTGGAGCTGAGGATGTTGGGTGCGGAGATGTTCAAGCTGTTGACGGTGGCGTCTTGGAGGACAAAACGAGGTTTTTTGGGTTGCAGAATCGTCCAGACAATTAGAATTACCACGAGGAGGATGAAGTTGAAGATAAGAAGGCAAGCGCAGCAGCGGCGGATTCGCTTCTGCCGCTTCTCCTTATGGTGGTGGGTGCACGTTTTTTCTGACATGTTTGGTTGTGGTGGTGGTGGAGGAGGAGGAGGTTTCCGGTCGTGTGATAGGTTTTGGGTTGTTAGGACGGAGTGGTTTGTGGGAAAGAGAAGAGAGGGTGTAGGCTTAGAAAAGGCAAGCTAATATATAGGATGACACTGGACCGAAGAAAAATAGGTATTCATTTAAATTTGTCTTGTTTGAATAAGGGAAGAATTATATGTATTGCACGATAGACGCATAAGGAAAAACCCGTATATGTGCATGGATGACGGGAATGAACTTACCCTTACCCCTGCTCTGTCCCCGCCTCGCCTCCGCTGTACCCATCATATATATATATATATATATATACTCTCGTTAAAGTCCTAAAATTTTGTTCTTGAGCAAAGGGTACGAAGGAGGTACTTTCTTTGATAGTCGTCTCTGTTTACTTAATACCAATTGAAAATTCTTGGTGGAATTGAAATTATTTGTTTTCAATGGGATATGATTTATTTCTTGTCTGGCTAAAAAAAAAAAGGACATGAACTTATACAGTTATGATTTGTTTGGGCTAAAAACAATAGAGATGAGATGTGAAATATGAGAAAAAAAATTTATTTTAATCATCTAACACCTCCTACCATTAAACTACAATTTTTAACAAAAAAATTCATTTGAAATACCAAAAATGCTCCTATATAAACCTTAAGTATTTTTTTTACATTAAATTTTATTAAAATTTGATCTGTTAAATGTTTTTAACAAATTCGTAAATAACAATATTAGTAAATAATTTATTAGTAAATACAAATTTGTTATTTACTAATTCATAAATTTTTTTAAAAAAATCGAGCTTATTAAAATTTATTTTTTACATATTAAAATTTGATCTGATTTGAACTTTACCTGAGTTGTTAGCGTTGATTAAAATTCTCTTTCGAGTCGATTAAAATTTATATTTTTTTACTTATTAAAATTCGTGTCAATTAAAATTCGATTTATTAGAATTTGAGTCAATTAAAATTTATATTTTTATATATTAAAATTTGTGCTAATTAAAATTCAATACGAATTGATTAAAATTTGATTTGAATCGATTAAAAATAAATTTTAATTGGCTCAAATAAAATTTTAACTAGCCCAAGTTTTAATACGTAAAAAAAATATAATTTTTAATTAGCTCAAATTTTAATATTTGAAAAAATAAATTTTAATTAGCTTGAATCGAATTTTATTCAGCTCTAATTTTAATACATAAAAAAAATTAAAAGATAAAGGTGGTCTCATTTAAGATATACTTATCTAAAAGGGGTCTCATTGAATATATATTTATTTAGAGGAGGTGTGGATGAAATTTGTTCTCAAATACATCATAGGCAATTTAGTAAAATTACATTCTAGTTAATATTTTTAATCTAACAGTGTGTGTCACTGAATATTCAATAAATAGAGAGAGTATCATAAAAATATGGTAAACAAGAAGAGGTGTGGTTGAAATTTTCCCTATATATATTAGGGCATATTGTCGGTCCAATTGTAATGATTCATTAGATCAATAAATTAGGTTTGCGTAGTATTACTGATTTTTTTTTTGATTAATTGAAAGTTGAGAATCAATTGAACCTAAGTTTCGTTACAGATGTCACAAGATTAAATTAGAACTTCTGCCTAGATGTAACCATAACAGACTAAATCTTTGAGGAAAACCCACCAGTTAGGTCTACACGGTAAAGAACTGCACCCGAGGTACTAAAAGTTCATTTTTTGATCCAATAGGGTTATTCTTTAATTTGAATTAGATTCAAACAATATTCAATGCATAGATGGATCTATTTGTGATAATAAAAATAATATTGCTATATTCATCTTTCTGCATTGCAAAATTTCACATGGTTTTCATTAGGGGTGTAACTCGGGCGGGTTGTACGGGTTAAACAGTCAATCCTAGATCAATCCTAAATATATAATCTTAACCCTAACCCTAACCTTACCTCGGATTGAAGGATTCAATCCAAGCACTGCCCGAGTATAATTCAAGGGGCTCGGGTTGAATTCGGGTTATTTTACGGGTTGAATTCGAGTTGAGGCCAAAATAGACTTGTTATTCTAAACCTGATACATATATTACATAATATTCAACTAAATTAACAACCAACAACTTCAATTAAGTTTTTAACATAAAAATCATAATATTAAGAACTCAATGTTTGAGGTAATGCAACAACAACCATACATAACACAAAAAAATACAACCAGAATCCTTGTACAAACATATAGTTCACTACTTAAATAGTGAGTGAGGGAGGCGCACAATAAAGACTTCAGAACAGATTAATCCTAGACTTAAAAATGTATTTATATGGTTTTGAATATTCCAATTGAACCCGAATATTAAATCAAGTTGAACCCGATTTTAATATTCGGGTTCAACCTTGGAACCCTAGGGGTCAACCTTAGGTTCGCCCAAATTAAATTCGAGTTGGGGTCACTACAAGAAAAATGTTTTTTAGCGGTAAAAAAAGTTGTCCCTAAAAGTGAATAATTTGTTGCTAAAATTTTTCTGCGACAAAAAAATTTGGTTGCCAATTTGTCGCGGCAGGCTTGTCACTGAAATTTTTTTTCGACCATCTACAGTATTGTCGCTAAAATAGATTATCAGTGACAAAAAGTTTAATCGCTTAAAATTCATCTACTTGTCACAAAAAAACATTCGTCGTCGAAAAAAAATTATATTTTGGTCATATTTTTTTTTTTTGTGATGACATAATATTTGTCGCTAAAAATCAAGACACATTTTTTGCAACTAACATATTTTCAACGTCAAATAACAAATGAACAAATTGTATAAACAGATAACACAACACGACTCATTTACTCTGTTTAATTTTAAAAAAATTATATCAATAAATTTTAATACTCTACTTTTCTTACTCTACTTTTTTTATTATCAGCTGTATTTATCTAAAAAAAAAGGAATTTCTAGTCAAATCTCACATAAAAATCAAACTTTAAGGCTAAAATAAAAAGGCAAGAGGTCACTGCCTTTTATAGACAAGTCAGCCATTCCCATCTTACCTCATTTGCCGACGTGGGATAAAAACAAAAGACATTGGTTTGTCTTACACATCATAGAATGCCTTTTTTTTTTTGGCGACAATTTTTCTTACACATCACAAAAAAGTTGTCGTAGTAAAACGTTTTTTTTCTAGTGATATTTTGCGATCAAATATAAATTGTTGCCAAACAAACAAAAATTTAATTTTTTTTCTGAGACAAACATGTATTGTCACTAAGTATTATTATTTTTATTTTCTTAATTTTTGTTATTTGACAAAAATTTTGCGACTGAAAAATTATTTTGGGGTCAAATTTTTTTTGGAGGGAAAGTTTTTGCGAAGACTATTGGCGATGACTACAAAAAATGGTCGAGAAAAATATCATAATAAAGTTTATCACGACAAATATTTGAAATTATCTGCGAAAATCACTTTTTTACAATAAATTTTATTGTTCGTCGCTAAAAAACAAATTTGTTATAATGGATTTTTTAACCCAAACCCAACTCAAGTATTAAAAATTCTAACTCAATCTTTAATTTTTTGGGTTAGATTCTGGTTGAAATCGAGTTAGCCTGCCCAAATTGCACCCATAGTTTTCATTTATTTTACCTTAAATTTCTAAATTATTTATTGTTAGTATACGTTAAAGTGCTGTTGTTGACATAAGTATACAGTCAACAGTTTGTATTGATTTATGATTACATCAACCCAGTACTTATTAAAAGGGTTCGAGGGTACAACCGGGATAGAACTCTTGTCTAGACCTAACATAGTAGTAGTCCGAATCTATAAGAAAAACCCACTAGTGAGGCTTAGATTAAACGACAAAAGAGTGAAAAATTGCACCCGACGAGATTTGAATTCATCCAATACGTTTTTTTGTACGTTTATTTAGTTGTAGATAAATTTTTATAAATTCAAGATAAAATAAGTTTTAAGTGAGAGTTATCTGTCATACATAAACAGATTACACTGAAAGATGGTAGATGATTAAAGATTGAGAAAATTTAAAAAACAATCAATGGGATAAAAATATATACTGGAATGATTGCTTCTATAAAAAATGTAAAATGTTTAAATTATCACTAAATTGACCTTTGATGCCAAAAACATCTATATCGTTTCCATTTCTCTAATGGGAAACAGCTCATGTGCTGTATAGCATGGGTGTTTTTTAAACAACGAAGCAAATGCCTATACAACATCGTTTTACAGCTTATTTGGTAACATCACTCTGTGCTGTACTAACAAAGGAGTCAGATGCTCTTGCACAACCAATATTACAAATAATTTGACCCTAAAAATTTGTCAATACTCAAATTCAAAACGTCTAAATTTATAAATCGTGTCTATTACTTATTCACCTATATTTTCTAGCAACACACAACCACCAACTCTATCAACCCTCAAAAAATGGAAAAGTTAAAGCCATACCTTAAAGGTTGATAATAAATTTTTCATTGAAAAAAACAGACATAAGGAAATGGAGTAAACAGAAAGTAATAAGCAATAAGAAAATGACTCCTTAACTACCCATGCCATGCCCACTTGACTTTTCTACTCAAAAACCTTTTTTGCACATTTCATATAACTTAAAAATTATAATCATACAACTTTTTAACAAGATTGTAATTTTGCTCTCTATCTTTATTCTTAGCAAAAATTTACAATTTATGAAACTATCTGACCTTTAAATAAAACTATATCGAAAGTAAGAGAGAGAGAGAGATGAGCAAGACTTCGCGGCGTTGACTGGTTCACACACTAACACGGCAACTCTGTGCTAGCTGATACTTAAAGCTGTTACCGACAACTATACCGGTGTTCGGAAATTCGTTGATATTCTTTCCGAACGGTATGTACGCCGGACATCTAACATGAAGATTGTAACGTCCAGTTGTGATGCTCCCAACTTTGAATCTGACCCGTCCATCAATCTTGATCATCAATCTAATGCCCCCACTAGCCTGTTCTTGGCTCAATGCCGGACCGTTGTACGGAGCAATCGGAATCATATCCCCATAAATGAAGGGCGACCAAACGTTAGTATCCTTGTGACCTTGATAAACGGATTGTATGCCGACAGTATAAGTGATCTGTTGGCTGCGATAAGTGGCGTAGACGGTAAGTTTGTCGTAGTAAATTCCAATATTCTCATTGGGGTTTCGAGAAACGATGGTGACTTGGATGTTGGAGCTGAGGATATTGGGTGCAGAGACGTTCAAGTTGTTGACGGTGGCGTCTTGGAGGACAAAACGGGGTTTTTTGGGTTGCAAAACCGCCCAAACAATGAGAATTACAAAGAGCACGATGGATATGAAGATGAGAAGGCAAGCACAGAAGGCGCGGATTCGCTTCTGCCGCTTCTCCTTGTGGTGGATGCATTCTTTTTCTGACATGTTTGGGTTTGGTTGTGGTTGTGGTGGTGGTGGTGGTGGTGGTGGTGGTGGAGGAGGTTTTCGGCCGGGTGATAGGTTTTGAGTTGTGAGGACAGGGTGGTTTGTGGGAGATTGCAGAGAGGGTGTGTGGTTTGTCTTTTTATATAGGCTTAAAAAGGCAAAGCTAATATGTATAGAGTTCACTTTTATACTATTCATTAAAAAATATTATTTGAATTTACTTTACTCCTTTGGTAGTGAATTTTAATATATATTAGGGTACATTGTCGGTCCAATTGTAATGATTTATTAAATCAATAAATTAGATCTACATAATATTATTAGTTTTTTTAATCAATAAATTAGATCAACAAAACTATTTGTGATAATAAAAATAATATTGCTATATATCTCTTTCTATATTGCGCGATTTTACATGGTTTTTTTCGTACTTTTGTTTAGTGGTTGATAAGTTGTTATAAATTCAAAATAAAATAAATTTTAAGTGAGATTCATCTGTCATACATAAACAGAATACACTGAAAGCTGGTAGATGATTAAAGATTGAGCAAATTTAAAAAACAATCAATGGGGTAAATATGAATGCATGGTGATGACTCAAAAGTCAACATGCCTAGTGCCCACCAAAAGCTAGGTCGGGTGGCACATTCAACCGACAAAAGTTGTTTTCATACAAGAAACATCAATCAGTATGTACCTCGAATGTGCGTGTAAGATAGGAAAAGTTTAACTTTTGTTAGTGGAACCTTAGGAAAACAAAAAAAATAAAGCACTAATTATTAGTTCAAAGCTTCAATGTCACAGAAAAGCATAGTACACTTGGGCAGATTTTACTGGACAAGTTGAATATTTTCTTTTCTCTTACAAGTTCTATCCTTGAAGATTTCTATTAGTAATGAAGGGAGTTGGGGGAATTATGAGCAGTGTTACAAAATTTAAATGAAAGTCAAAAAATTGAACTTAAATGTATATTATCATTTGAATGAATAAGTTTTATTAAATTTTTCAGTGAAACTCACTCATCCTACACTCATGCTCTGTTTGGTAGGAATGATGGAAAAAAGGAATGATACACTTTCTATTATTCAAGAAAATAAAATAGGAATGATACATTTTTTTTCCTTTGTGTTTGATTGGATAAATGGAAAATATAAATGACTAATTTTTTTTTTTGTGCTGGCTAAGATTAAGAGTGACAATCAAATCGTGTCATGTCAAATTTGTGTTGAGTCAATATAGGTTTGTGTCGAATATTAGTCACACCTAACTCAACTCATTTAACTAATTGTGTCATGTCGAGTTACGAGTTGACCTGTTTATTTTCGTATTGTGTTCGTGTTCGAGTTAATCAAAATCGTGTCATCGTGTTGAGTCAAAACTTTTCACTCTTATGATGAAAAAAACATTTTTTAATTTAATTTTTTTATTTTTTTTAATTTAGTTATATATATAAATACATATTTTATTTTTTTATTTTTATATAAAATTAATGTATACATAATATATGTATATATAAAAAGATATATAGACAAATAATATACATCTAAACACAAATAATTAATTTTTCATCCACTTTCTTTCTGATTTTAGAAGGATTGATATTAGTGAATTGGAAAGAAAGTTAATCCACTCACTTTTCTATCATTCTTATTTTCCTTACTTATCAAACAAGATATTTTATTTATCCCTTCAACTTTTCATCTTTCTATTTTTTATCATAGCAAACGAAGCATTATTCAAAGGATGATATGCATTTGAATTTCAACGTTTGAATTTCATTTGAATTATATAGTATTTTTCCAAAAGTTATATATCTCATTTGTATAGAACTCATATTCTAACATAATCTCAACGTCCGGGACCCACGTCTGTATCAATTGTTAGCTACTCACACATTATGTTTACCATGAAAGTTACTAAACAAATAATTATTTGACACACGTAAGTTAAGAATGACATGTTTTTTGACGGATTACTTAGGTATTGTAAGTAATTTATCAATAGATCAAATTTTATAATACATTAGACCTAAATCCAAGTAGGTTGATATGGATTGACTTTTTTAATTGATCATTCAAATTAAAATCAAAATCCGTTATCTCATATTCCATGGGCTTAGACTTAGAGTTATCAGTATTATATTTGAATTTTACGTAAACACTTAAAAATATATATTATGTAATGTAATTTATTGATTATTTGACAAATTTAAATTTAAATATAAATTTTAACTACTAAAATCAATTATGATGAAATTTTTTATAAATAACACTGGAGTTGGATTCTTATCATTGAGGTAAATTCAATCCAAATTCAATCATGTCACAAGCCGAATTTCAAAATGTCAAATTACGTGATCGGGTACATTAAAATGCAGGCGTGCAATGGTGTGATTGGGTAGGGATTACTGGTTTGACACGTTTTGATGCAACATATGGGCCCATTTATCATGATACAGAAGCTCCCAGCTAAGCCCACCGACTACTGTGTGGGCCCTGTGGAGGGGTGTGGAATATACCTCCAAATTACGCAAAACACCGTCTCATTGTGCAAGCACATGACATGGAGAAAGGAATCATGGAATTACAACATGCTATCATGCATGTGTATCCGCATATATATGCATGTATGTTCTAACCGAGAGTTTTTTACCGTTAAAAACCAAAATTGAACATATTTGCAAAGACTTATAATTGTATAAATGTACGGACACATAATAATGTGTGCTTATAAACATATCAATAACATTTTTTGAATTTAATTTAATAAATTATTAACTTAATCTTTTATAACTATTTATTGAATTAATAGCGAGTTTCAACAAATATTAAGTTCTATTATCAATTTAATGACAGTGATTGATTAGACTAATAAATTATGGCAATAAATGAAATCTAAATAACATTATTATATAAATACATGTGTGTGGTCGGTAAATAGTAATTTTTTTTTTGTCACTAAACATCTATGGCTGAATGGTTAAACTGCTCAATTCATAATTCACAAATTCATAGGTTGAATTCTTACGGGATGCATACCCAACGCATTCAGCATTTACGTTTTCATATACCCAAAAAAAAAAAGGAGAATAGCACGTGGTTGGAGATAAATTGATAAAAATTACCGAGAGAAAGATCCATTTGTTTGGAGTTTTTAGCTGGAGAGAAATGGAGAATTCAGAAATCGATTTTTTTTATAAAAAGTGAAAAAAAAGCTCTTAAGGGTAAAGAAAATTGAGTTGGTGATCATCTTTAAAATGAAATGTGTACTATCAAAGTTAGAAAATGAGACGTGTAACAATGGTAACGACCATAGTGGGAAAGTGTGAAAAAGTAAGCAAACAAAGGATTCTAGTTTAGAAAAGGAGGATGGTTTTTCTTACCACTTTCTCAATCCTCATTATATATGAATACGTTGATGTCTTACCTACCGTTTCCTCCCTTCTTACTTAAGTAATCAAAAGATAAAGTTATGATACTGTTTGATATCAGTATCGTGCCTCTATCAATCTTAATCATTGATTTTAAATTAAATAATTTATAATTAATAGTTAATAAAATAATAAAAAACTATACGACAGGTACCCGTGATGAATCTTATTGAAAAATAAAGATATAATATTGAAAAGTGGTGTTTAGTAGTGAGACGCAAAATCAATACAATGTCTGTAATGCAAATTGGGGCTGATCGTCCAATCTAGGTCAGTCTACTCGATCCCAAGCAGTCAACAAATGTTGCTTTGAAATTTCAGAAATAACCCCCCATAAGTCAAAGAAAGGAGGCTGGTATCTCATGTTTTTCTAAGTAAGAAGACAATTCTGATTTCGGAATATGGAGCCCATAGATTGTAAGTCTTAAATTAGGTGGGTGAGTTTTGTACTTTGCATTCGTACCCTTTTGCCCTGGATTAAAAGAGTAATATTAGATGAACTTAAAAAATAAATTTAAAAATTAAACTTAATAATCTCTAATCATTGTATAAGTAATAGGTCCCAATAAATATTGGGACTCATAGTAAAATCAATGTTTAAGATTATCAAGTCTAGTGTGTGTGCTAGATCTTGCACAATATAAAAACGAGAACAGATCTCTCCCTCTGTGAACTCGAATGAGTCAGTTAAGTGGTCAACCACATTGTTTGGAACAGCCTGTGAGATCCGGTGGTAACCTGGAACGGTAATGGGAGACCCTCGCGGATCAAAGGAACGATCCAGTAAAGCTGAAGAAAGGTTCTTAGAACAAAAAAGAACAAGTTAGAAGGGCGCTGGAGTATTTTTCGGCGTATCCCCTCCGACGATCAAGTCAATTTTTGAGAGAGAGGAAGAAGAAAACACTGAATATAATTTGTAGCCAAAGTTTCACCTCTCGTTCTTGCCTTTAGTGAGGAGTATTTATACCTCAAATACTCATGATTGTTGTCAGTGTGGTCAGTAGGTGATCATTAGAAACAGGCAACGTGCGCACTGATTCCTATGAGGAATGTCTTCTCTCTTAACTACTAGGGACCCCGAACAATCAAGTCTGTGTCATCGGTCTGCCGACAGTTCAATGAGCTCCTCTCGGGGAGGATGAAATAAATGCCCAACCTTAGAGACATTTATTGTCTTTCACTTCTGAGTCTTACCGCATTGAATGCAGTCTCATCAAGGAAATGATGTAATTAAATGCTTGTTTTTCCAAGTCGCGTGTCAGCAAGGTCATGTGGTCTTTCTGTCTCTGATGTGACACAATATGCCACGCGTCCATTCTTCATTGGCTGTGGCTCCTGCCTTCCTGTGTCTTCTGACATCAATTGTGTAAGACGAGGTCATGATAGCTAACCTAGCCTAGTCTAGGCTAGTGACCAGTGCATCAATAACCTCTGCTGGAGTAAAGAACTTCATCATGGGTGAGAGGGGGGTACATCTCGGTACCGAGGAAGAGGTATATCTTGAATCCGAGAAGGGGGAGCCTAGCGATCGATGTACCATATCAGACCGAGGGTACGTGTCGGTACATAA